CCCAAATTCGGCAATAATACTTTCAAAAGACTAATAATCAAAAATAGTATAGTTGCAATTTAAAAAAGTTAACACAAAATGGGCTTTTTTAAACAAAAAAATACAAATTTGTTTCTGAGAAAACCGAAGCTAACAACAATGGTAGTTTCCCCGTTGTGAAAATCATAATATCAAACAAGTGAACTGAGAGTAGAGAACATTAGCTACGAGTTGACCTAAGGCATTTAGTATATGTAACGAATAATATGAGGATTATTTAATGAAGAATATTTCTACAAATTTTATTGAAACAACTACTTAAAATATGTATTCATTCCTGGTGAGGGGTTAATAATTTTACAATTATTTGTGCAATGTGAACTATCTCTGTTTGAGATTGATAATTTTTACTAATTTTTCTTTACATGTAGGATATTTACAAATATGAGTTAGGAATTGTTCTTAATTGTAGTAAGGTTGAATGCAAGAATGAAGTGAGAAAGAGGTATGTAATAAGTGGGAACTAATGATGCTATGGGATAAGTGGGAACTAATGTTTCTCTCATTAGTAATGATAATGCAACATTGTAATAAGGCAATTTATGTTTATACTGACACATGTCAGCCATGACTTGCAAAACTAATTATCAATCGTAACGCTAGAGATGCAAAAATTAATTATTTTAAAGCTAATAGATCATTACAAATTCAACCATCCAAAACTGCGTTCCTGGGAGAAATGTTATCGCCTAACAATGAGAAGCTGAGAGTGATAAATCTTTGAATTTTAAACTGCCGTGTCACAGCGTTTTCATTGTCGAATTTCGATCTGATATCTTGTAAATTACTAATTTCAGCAAAAGAAGAGTGGAAATTCGAATTTGCAATTTCAAATATAAGCGAAGCTACTCATATTTTCTAAAAAAAAATTACATGATCTTATTTAAATATCTAATTTAGAAGAACATAACTCATTAATTGAGAATGTTCTTCATTAATAATGTTAAATTTTTCATTATTAACATTTTGCAATTTTCAAAAATATCAGATAAATGGAACCTGCACCATTATTATAACCGCACTTTTCTTTAAAACTTGGAAAAAATTAAGCAAAAAATTGCAGCAACTTTGATTTTTTAAAAAAGTGTCTACATTTCACAAAATTCTGCAAGAACTAATAATATATTTAAAAGGATGTAATGAATATTTTAAAGAACTGTCCTTGTATAAAATAATTTATCAAGAAAAAATCTCTCTCTCTCTCTCTCTCTCTCTCTCTCTCTCTCTCTCTCTCTCTAATAATCTAGTTGTATAAAGACTTCAAACAAGAACTCATAAAAATGGCGCATGCACCAATTGAGGCAAGCAGCATTCTTTTGTTCTAATAAAAAAATGGAATCACTTTAAAGAAAGTTTTTATTATGATGTTAAAACTTCATGTAAAGTACTCTGAAAAAGTCAAAATACTCGTTTTAAATTCAGCGAGCCGCGACATCAGTCAGGTCGATGGCGGTTTATCAATTGTGGTGAAAATCCTCCCTACAGTTTTGCTTCTAGAGTTGTTCAGGGAATGGGCGGGGTGGGTTTATGACGTAAACGAATTTTTCGTATAACGTGTTTGAGGAAGTAATGACAGGCAAGACATGTAGAACATGTAAGTGCCAGAATTATCCACGTTGTGGGTATCTGGGGCCTACCATATGAATTTTTCTCTTAAAAAAAAACGCCAGTTTTAGTTGTGCAACACATGACTTTCTCAATACTACGTAAGAAATATGCGAGAAAGTAAAAAGTGAACCCACTATGTGAGAAAGGTTTTATTGATGCAAAAACGGTCAGATTGGGTGGTTTTGGGGAGATGTGTGCTTTATTCTTTGGAATGAAATATACAATTTCGCAGAAAGCATAGAATTTCGGGCAACGCGATATAGGCCCGACAATACGTAATTGTGAAAAATTACTTAGCATCACAATGTGGAACAGCAGTTTATCCAGGTTAAAAGTGTTCATAGGAAAAAAACATTTCTCTTTATTTTGATTCAAAATACTGTGTGCTTTGGTCTTGAAAACCAAATAATTCGAACCAACCATTCGAGCTAAAATAATGACTTACATATTCTACAAAAGAGGAACGGTGAATAATTATGCACAAATACAAATAGTAAATAAATGTATTTTATTCAAAATATACTTTATGGTAATAGGCGAAAATTGAGAATAATAAGCAAAAACCGCGTTTTATGTTGCCAAACTTGGATATTCAAATATCATTTAATGACGGTGCGATTTGGTAATTTCCCTTGTATTTAAAAAAGTGTGCTGTAAGTTGCGATGAACACAGATACAATATTTTTTATCAAAACGTTTTGATTATTTCATTTTCAAAGGAAATAACATTTTTCGGGCTATTGTTGATCAGAGTTTCACATTCACAATGCACACACGCTATTTATCAACATCACCATTAATGTGTCAGACTCATAAACAACATTTCGAGAACTAATATCAAGCTTACAATATGAAATACTACACGTATGAGGCAGGAGAATATCCATCATCTTGTTTACTTGTTTACGTCCATAAAATTATTTGTCCCTTTAAGAGTTTTGATCTTTTTAAGATAAATATCTCAACTTGTATTTAAAAATTTTCATTAAAAAGACTTCAAAAAGTTGAAACTTTCACTGCTTCATGTTTGAAGACTTATAGGGAAGCCTTTTTTGATTGATCTTTTGACCTAGTTACTTTATACAGTTGTTTTACCGGCCGTTTTTGATTAGCTTGGATTCAATTCCAGAAACCTCCTTGGCATCTTTTATTTAGTGAAACCGAACACGCCATTCAGCCACTCCGCTTTGATCTTTGATAATAATTTCCTTTCTTTGCCGTTCATCTCTAGTAATTTCGTTCGGCTCGTGTACTGCGGAGAAATATCCTTTTCCTGCTCTTGAAATTTGTATGCATTCCCTGCTTGTTTCAACCTTTTACTTATTCTCGCTATATTCCATCGCACAAGTCTCTGCATGTTGACTTTTTGTCATAATCACTTGTTATCCTGTGTCGCTTTCTGCATAAAGACATCTGAAGTGTATCTAAGATCTGCCATCTTTCTTACGCTCTCGCCTTGAATATCTTAACATTTTCTGAAAATCATCTCTATATCTCTTTCACCTTTATATTTGCCTCCTGCAGTTAGATTTTACTCGCTTAGGCAAATGTCACTTTCAAGATTATTGCAACCCACTTTCAACTTCCCTTCTCCTCCCTCTTTCCTCTCCTTTCTCTCTCCTTTCTCTCTCCTATCTCCACTCTCTCTCCCCTATTTCCCTCTGTCCCGCTATTCCCTCTTGTCCTTCTAATTTCCTCTCTGTCCTCCTTTTTTCCTCTCTGTTCCTCTATTTCCTCTCTCTCCTCTATTTCCTCTCTGTTCCTCTATTTCCTCTCTGTCCTCTATTTCTCTCTCTCCTCTATTTCCTCTCTGTCCTCTATTTCCCTCTCTGTCCTCTATTTCCTCTCTGCTCCTCTAATTTTCCTCTCTGTCCTCTATTTCCTCTCTCTCTGTCCTCTCCTCTATTTCCTCTCTTCCTCTATTCCTCTCTCTCTCTCCGTCTTATTTCCTCTCTCCTCTACTCCCTCTATTTACTCTCTCTCCTCTATTTACTCCTCTTCTCCTCTACTTTACTCTCTCTCCTCTATTTACTCTCTTCTCTCTATTCCTTCTTCTTGTCTCTCTGCTTGTCTTTCTCCTTGTCTTGTCTTTCTCTCTGTCTTGTCTTCTCCTCTGTCTTGTCTTTCTCCTCGCTCTTGTCTTTCTCCTCTGTCTTGTCTTTCTCCTCTTCTTGTCTTTCTCCCTCTGTCTTGTCTTTCTCCTCTGTCTTGTATCTCTCCTCTGTCTTGTATTCTCTCTGTCTTGATCTCTCCTCCTGTTCTTGTATCTCTCCTCTGTCTTGTATCTCTCTCTTCTTGTTTCCTCTGTCTGGATCTCTCCTTTATTTCTATCTCTTGTCTCTCTCCCTAATGCCTATCTCTCCCCTATGCCCTATCTCTCCTCTATTGCCTCTCTCTCTCGTATCTTCTCTATCTAGCTATTTATCTATCTCCTTCTGAGAATTGAAGAACGGCTTTCCCAGCACCTCGCAACGACGATGTCATTTCCAGGTTTCGGCACTACGAAGCCAACCGGCACGTCAAGAAAGTTGCTCTCTTCCGCTCCTAGGGCGGCGCTTTTGGCACCTCGCCACGTGTTTCTTTTTTCCTTCGCTCCTTCCCCGACGCACGCTGCGGGTCGATTAAAGCGCTCCGTTCCGCCCCGCATTTCGCCGTGTCGGTCCGGCCTCCGCCACCGCCTCCGCCCAGTTATTAATTAGTTTACTCGGGGACTGGAAACAAAGGAGAGCGCGCCCGCGCGCCAGGACGCCGTCAGCCTCCCGCCCCCGCTGCCCGCCCGAGATGAACCGCCTAGGAGATTGGTCGATCCATCTTGGTCGCCCGCCGCCGTCTCTACCTGTTGCGGGCCACGCCCCCTCCACCCCCGCGTGTGCCTACGCCCCTCCGCCCCCGCGTGGGAGAGGCGCTGACGGCCGTGACGTTGGAATCGAGTTTACACTTCACGGGCTTCCGCGCGCCCCCAGATGGAGTTTACGACTGAATGAAAACTTGAGTAATTGAAACTGCCTCGGGAATCTTGGTCTCCCGGGACGAGTATTGTCTCGGTGTCCCACTTATTGGAAGGAAGTTCTATAAGACAAATTCTGACAGTCGTATATCCTGAAGATTTTGATGTTATTTCTCGTCACGCAAATAAGTTGATTTTAATATTTTTCGATTTTATTGTAGAAAAATACGACTGGTATTCAAAACAGTTTTCTTCTCGCTCGAGAACCGAGAATATTTCGGGATAACGTATTCGACAAGGACTATTATATGTTTTCTTTTACTTTTCAATCTTCGGTGTTGATGTAAATGCATTGTTTTTATATTTTAATAGAGTGGAAGATGCAAATGTTTCGTTGTCTTTGCAGGGGCTGTAGCTTTGGAATCCGCAACGCTTCTGCGTTCTGCGGGTGGCCTGCTGTGACGTCATCTCCCGGCGCACTGCCAGTGAGTATGCCAAAAAGTCTGTTTTTTTTTATGTTGACTAGCGTACCCGTGCGAGAAGTCGCAATTGCCGCCCTCTTCCTTTTTTTCATTTTCCATTTTCCTCCTTCCATTTTCATATTAAAATGAAATTGTTAATGAAACGTGTTTATTTGTTTAAAAATGAATAATGGTAACTTCCAATTTACTTACAGAATATCAAATAAAAATCAAGGCAAGCGATGTTTGAAACAAATATTCAATGCCTAAAGGTTTATTCCGTATAATGGACAAGTGTTCATGAAACAATTGCCCATGCGGAAACTTGCGAGTTGCATTTGTCTTGAAAATTAGAAGAGTTTTTTCAACAAATTCTTCATATTTTTAAAAGTCAAAGGGCAATTCGTCACGTCACCGTGAAATTGTCTTTTTTTTAGAGACATCATTTAAAACCACTGGTTGCGTGAATGAGACGCAAAACTCGTCTATATTACGGAAATAATGTAGGAGGCAATGAAACTCGCAGTATTTTCCCCAATTACGTCTGTTTGTTGGAAAAATGTATTTTAACACTCGGTTTAAAAAAAGGGAAAATAGAATGTTTTAAGTTTTCGTGTCTTATTATCTACATCTAACTACAGGTCCTGTTCAATAGCACTTGAAAATAATATCTGTTCTATTTAGATGATAAACGTTTATCGCAATTCGACTACCCGTCGATTGATTATGTAAAAGTGAATTTGAATTTGACTTGGCTATTAGAAAATGGTTACATTTATTTTTTCCTTTGGTTTGTCGCCAAAAAAACTGGAAGCGGTAAAATTGAAATGAACATTTCAAATAAATGCGCGTGAATATTTAAACTCTTTTTTTTACGCGTTAATGTATGTTGTATTTATTACGAATGAAATTTGTTTTATATCAACATGTACCAACAGTTACATTTTCAATTTAGACATTTTTCTCAAACTCGAATAAATAATGTTTACCGGACATTTATTACCATTCTTGGAGTGAGAAATACAGTAGTTAGTTTTTATGTACAGTTGTGACCGTTCTAAAAGAAATGGCGTCTCTTTTGTAAAGGTAATCTTTTGCCAGCGGCGCTAAAGAGAAAGGCAAGATACAAAAGAAAGTAATGTGCATACGAGGCCCTTCCTTTATGAAGCGGCGAACGGGAGGGGGCGGGTTGGAGAGAGGGGAATGTGCGCTGCCCTGGGCTTCCGGGTGGACGTGTGCAGAGCCCATTAGCCATAGCTCCGGCGTTGCCCGCGCCCGCCCGCCCGCGCCCGCCCGCGCTTGCCACGCCCGCCCCTATGCCCACCACAGCCCGCCCGTACGCCCTCACGCACTCGTCTTGCCGGACCCCCCGCTTCGCCCTTCCGTTTCTTCTTCTCTTCCTCTGCTTTCTCTGACTTTCACGCTTTTGCTCTTTTCTCCCTTTCTCGTTTTCCTGCGTCATTTGCACATTCCCCATAAGTTGCGCTCTCCCTCTCCGGCTTCCAGTGGATTTACGTCCTCCGCTCTCTGCGCTCTCTACCACCTCCTTTCCTCTCCCTCTTACTCTGACCTTCATTCCCGTCGTGTTCATACAGCTCTACCATCCCGACTCTGCTCCCTCATCAGTGTTCTCTCAATGTTTCTTCACACTCTCCGCTTTCACTCTCTGGCCCATGCCATTGCTCTCTCCCACAAACACACGCTCCTCTCTCCCTCTATCTGACCGCACGCTCTCGTTTCACCCACGTCGCTCCTCTCCGCACGCAGGATCTCTTCGCTTCACGTTTTCTGTCCTCTGTCTCTTGCTCTCTCTCTCTCCTCTCTCTCTCTCGGTCTCCGTCCGCACCTTCTGTCTCTTAAGCTCTCTGCGTCCGCACGCTCGTCCGTTAGTCTCTGCGTCCGCACGCTCCTCTGTCCGTCCGCACGCTCCTCTGTCCGTGCGCACGCTCCTCTGTCCGTCCGCACGCCTCTTGTGCTGCACGCTCCTCTGTCGAATCCGCACGCTCTCTGTCCGTCCGCACGCCTCTGTCCTCCAGATCTCGTCTCGCACGCTCCTCTGTCCGTCGCACGCTCTGCGTCGCAGCCCCTGTCGTCCGTCCTCTGCCGTACGCTCCCTGCTCCCCGCTCTGTCCGTCCACCCGGCCTCTCCGCGCTGACGCTCGTCGTCTCTCCGTCCGCACGCTTCGTCTCATCCGGCTCATTGCTTTTCTCCGCACGCAGGTTTCTCTCGCCACTCGCTCTCTCGCCCACTGAGCCAGTTTCCCGTCCGCTCACTAAGCCACTGCCCCTCTCCCGCGTTCGTTCCGCCGGCCGCTCCCTCTCCGCGCTCCTCCTGCGCGAGCCGACTGTTTTTCTTGCGCAATTGCTGTCGGCTGGCTGCGGCCGCGGGCGGGGGTGGGGGCAGCGGCGTTGCCTCATGAATACGGGAGAGGGCCGCTTTCTTTTTCACACCCTCGGGCGAGGCACCGGGCCCTGGAGGGGTCGGGGCGGGGGCGGGGCGGGGACGGGGCGGGGCGGAGGGGGCGAGGGCGCAGGGAGTGGCGAGGGCCACCGGGTGACGGAAACTGGGACACCGCCATGAGTACGCTGGCAGAGCTGTTGGGAGTTCTCTTGAGGTGGAAGGACGATGGAGACTGGAATTGATGAAGGCAGCCTGAGCAGTTGCGTAAAGAGAGGAAAAAGGAGAGCTTAGAGAATGCTGTGAATATAGAGGAAGTCAGCATGAGTGCGAGCATGAGCGAGGGGAGACGGGGCGCCGGTGCCGGTGCCAGGGATTGAGGCAGGAAAAGCGCTGAGGGCGTGGAAGCGACATTGCGGCGGCGTGGGAAAGCAGCCTTTGAATAAAAAAGACTTGAATGAAAAACAGCTGTCGACAGTACTGAGAAATCTTTGCTGAGAAGAGCCGATAGCAAGCGTTGTTTTGTTTACCTGTGGGATACTACTCTAAGCATTGCAGTGTTCACGCTTGCTGAAGCGAAAGAATAAAATTACATAGATACTTAAAGAACGAATTATTAGATCAAGTTAATAAAATGCTGTTAATTTTGTTCTCTTTTATGGAGAGATACACAGAATTTAGAGGTAATCCTCTAACTTTTTCGTGAACTTTTGGCAGATAAAATAAGATGTTTAAGAAATAATTTTCTCGACTTAATATTATAATTTTTTTGAATTTTGTTTTTCTTATGGACGTATTCAAAGGTATTGTACTTCTCATCTATAACATTTCTCCTGCAGTGAAGATGACGGCTCCGTTAGAGGGGCTCCACGTTAAGAGTCTCGTTTGCAGTGAAACCTCATTTGTTACTTGCTTCGCTTGTGCACTGCTTCTCGTCATCCGGCAGCATTTCACTCTTTGAACGTCTGCCCTCTTAAAAGATGGAAGAAATGCTTAGGTTCGTAAATCATAACAAACGTATGAGAACTGCAAAACTTCTACATGTGATTTGTGAACAACTGTGTGGAGTGGTTTATTTTACATGTTTTGTGTTATCTGCTGCGTTTCAATAAAGAATACATGACCATAAAAGGAGAAAAGAAAATTTTCAAACAATTGCAAAGAAAAAATAGAAGCTACATACATATGTAGTATTATATATATATATATATATATATATATATATATATATATATATATATATATATATATATATATTTTACCTTTAACGATGTACAACTTTTAATAATAAGCTCCAGCTCGGACCTGGTTTAGGTTTAATAACATTCTTTATTATTTTAACTTATGTAATATTATTGACAAAATACTTTTATACTAATGAGGAAAAATTTATTTATTTTATAATTTTTGATAATGAAATGTGGTAACTAAATATTACTATTTTATTGTTTTAATAATTATGGCTCACTAATTAAGTACTATCTGTGAAATTAACATCACTTTAAAACAATTACCGTAATAAAGTTCAACTTTTCCACACTCTCAATTAGCATTAATTGTTGAGGATCGTTAAGTAACTGTCTATTTTACTCCTCTTTGCTCGTAACCTCAACCTCTGTCAACCAAATGAGATTTGAAACATTCATGCCCATATCAGCATGCACGCCTGACATTAACTTATAATTTGCGCGCTCTCTCGCATAATTCCGAAACGTGAACGTGACCTTACAGCGCCGAAGAAATTTGTGCAGAACCTTTGAAAATCCGCTCCAATGAAAATGTAATAATGCATTATTAATATTTTAGCTAGATGGATCAAATAAACATACTAAACCTTGAAAAGGAAAATGTCAATTTTAACCCAGTCATGATACATTAATTACTGTTTTCGGACAGGTCATCTGCTCTGATCATCATACGTACGTGTTCCGCAGGTACTCTTTGGAAGTTGGTAATGCTCCTCTCCCAATGCATCTCAGCGCCGACCTACATGTCGGTCTAAAGGGTTTTCATCTCCATATACCTCCCCCAGAAGGCTTCCGCTAGCCGCGTCAAGCTCTAAGCATCCGTCTGGTCTCCCGACATGTTTGGTAGTGAACTTGATGTATGTGTGTTTAAAGGGTGAGGGTACGAAAAGAAAGAGGTAGAAAAGATTAGGCACACTCCGTGGCCCGTTTGTTAGGGTCTGCTCCGGCATTCGCCTGTTATTGATCGGAGAAAGTATGAAACACCGTTTATCAGAGCAGCCGGCCGCTAACATTCTCTGCCAGAGAAACCTGAATTTTATCTAGCTATATAACTGTGTCGTAAATCCGCCACAGTCGGAACTCGAAGTGGAACGTGAACGGACCGCACGGTCCGAGTCGCTGCAAAGGGAACTGTAATGCTGGCTCGGAGTAACTTAGTCGCGCTTCATCCTCAAAAACTCTTTTCTGCAGACGAGCTGCCTCTCCCTTCGCTACCTCCCCATCTGGAGAAATCTCACCGTCGCCGCTAATCAGCCACACTACCTCCCCCGCCACACCACGCCCCGCCACATCCACCAACGCCGTCACCGCCGCCATCCCCGCCGCTACGAGCGCATCATCACCACACAGCCGTCACCAACCGCCGTCACACCGCCGTCACACCTGCCGTCACCACCGCCGTCACCACCGGCCGTCACCACCGCCGTCACCACCGCCCGTCACCACCGCCGTCACCACCGCGTCACCACCCGTCACTCCTCCGCCGCCGTCCCTCCTCGCCCGCCGTTCAACCTCCTCCGCCGCCGTCACCTCCTCTCGCCGCCGTCACCATCCTCCGCCTGCGTCACCCTCCTCCGCGCCGTCACCTCCGTCCGCCGCCGTCACTACCTCGCCGCCGTCCTCCCTCCGCTCCGTCACCGATCCTCCGCCGCCGTCACCTCCTCCGCCGCGTCCTCCTCCGCCGCCGTCACCTCCTTCCGCCGTTCCGTCACTTCTTCCCGCGCTTTCACCTCTTTCGTTCGCGCCGTCCCCTCTTCCGCCGTCGTCACCGTCTTCCGCCGCCGTCCCTCCTCCGCCGCCGTCACCTCCGTCGCCGCCGTCCTTCCTGCCGCCCGTTCCACCTCCTCCGCCGCCGTCACCTCCTCCGCCGCCGTCACCTCCTCCGCGCCGTCACCTCCTCCGCCGCCGTCACCGTCCTCGCCGCCCGTCACCTCCTCCGCCGCCGTCCTGCCTCCGCGGCCGTCACCTCCTCCGCCGCCCGTCACCTCCTCCGCCGGGCGTCAACCTCCTCCGCCGCCGTCCCTCCCTCCGCGCCTCACCTCCCTTCCGGGCGCCGTCACCTCCTCCGCCGCCGTCACCTCCCTCCGCCGCCGTCCCCTCCTCCGCCGCCGTCACCTCTCCGGCCGCCGTCACCTCCTCCGGCCGCCGTCACCTTCCTCCGCCGCGTCAACCTCTCCGCCGCCGTCACTCCTCCGCCGCCGGTCACCTCTTCCGCCGCCGTCACCTCTTCCGCCCGCCGTCCACTCCTCCCGCCGCAGTACCTCCTTCCGCCGCCGTCACCAACCTCCTCCGTCCGCCGCCACCATCTCCGCCGCCGGTCACCTCCTCCGCCGCGTCACCTCCTCCGTCCGCGTCACCTCCTCCGCCGCCGTCCTCCTCCGCCGCCGTCCACTCTCCGCCGCCGTCCCCTCCTCCCCCGCCGTCCCTCCTCCGCGCCCGGTCACCTCCTCCGCCGCCGTCACCGTCCCTCCGCCGCCGTCACCTCTCCGCCGCCGTCACCTCTCTCCGCCGCCGTCACCTCTCCGCCGCCGTCACCTGCACTCCGCCCGCCGTCCACCTCCCTCCGCTCCGCCGTCACCTCCTCCGCCGCGTCACCTCCTCCGCCGCCGTACCGCTCCTCCCGCCGCCGTCACTCCTCCGCCGCCGGTCACCTCTCCGCCGCCGTCATCACCTCCTCCGCCGCCGTCCTCCTCACGCCGCCGTCATCACCGTCCTACCGCCGCCCGTCAATCACCTCCTCCGCCCCGCACCTCTCGCCCTTCAGCACCTCCTCCGCCGCCGTCAACCTCCTCCGCCCGCCTCACCTCTCCGCCCCGTCACCTCCTTCCGCCGCCCGTCACCTTCCTCCCGCCGCCGTCAACCTCCTCCGCCGCCGTCACCTCTCCCCGCCGTCACTCCCTCCGTCACCGCCGTCAACCCCTCGCGCTCGTCACCCTCCTCCGCCGCCTCGTCACCTCCTCCGCCGCCGTCACCTTCCCTCTCGCCGCCTCACCCTTTCCTCCGCCCGCCGCGTCACCCTCCTCGGCACCTCGCCGCCGTCACCTCCTCCGCCCGCCGTCACCTCCGCCGCCGTCACCTCTCCGCCCGCGTCACTCCTCCGCCGCCGTCACCTCCTCCGCCGCCGTCACCTCCTCCCGCCGTATCTCCGCCGCCCGTCCTCCCGCCCCGTCACCCCTCCCCGCCGTCACCTCCTCCGCGCCGCCGTCACCTCCTCCGCCGCCGTCACCTCTCCGCCGCCGTCACCCTCCTCCGCCGCCGTCCTCCCGCCGCCGTTCACCCACCCTCCGCCGCCGTCAACCCCTCTCCGCCTGCCGTCACCATCCCTCCCCGCCGTCCACCACTCCTCCGCGCGTCACCACCCTCCCCGCCGTCACCTCCTCCGCGTCAGCCGTCCCTCGCTCCGCCGCCGTCACCTACTTCGCCGTCACCCGCCGCGGCCGCCGTCACCTCCTCCGCGCCGCCGTCACCTCCTCCGCCCGTCCCCGCGCCGCCGCCCGTCACCACGCCGCGTCGCCGTCGCCGCCGCATCCGCCACCGCCATATCCACCATCGCCACCGCCCCAGCGCTCACCGCAGCGCGCCCCGCCCCGCCCCGCCCAGCGCTCGCGATTTGCACTTCGCTGCACCGCGCCGCGGGCTGCGCTGACGGGCTCCCCCCCACTTGTTACGCTATCGCCCTCGCGCTCTGCCTCGTTACGGCGCGATTTGTGGAGGAAAGCGCGGCGCGGCGTGGCGCGGCGGCTCGCGAGGAAGACTTTAGCAGCGTACGGGACGCAAGGTTTTGTGTAATTCTTCGCGTAACACAGCGCCGGGGCGCGCCCCGCGCGGTAAACGTCGAGGTGCCCCCAGTTTCAGTTTACGCGCCTAGAGATAAGAGAGTATTTCGTTTAACTGCTGCGTTCCACGTTACATACGACGACGGTGTAGTCGTGCCGTACTTTAGATATCTTCTACGTACGATGACGTACTTCTACAAAGTGTAGTAATGTAATCCCACTATCTACTTAATATCACCAAATAGCGTATAAGAGATTTAATATTGTAAGAAATTTAATAGTTTTGAGGGTTTAGTGTGTGCTTTCTGCGCGCAAAGTTCAAGAAAAACATAGAAACAATTATTACAATACTTAAAACAATTAAAAAGGTACCTCTTTGTTAAAAACTGAATGGAAACTTCAAGGAAACTCTAAGGAATGGAAACAATACGTAAAGATTATGTTTCTGCATTAGTTGCACATCCGTTGTTAAATATTTTGTCACGAACGGGCTTTTGCTCAACAATACTGTAAAATTTTGAATTCTGAATTTTTATTTTGTGTTTGTTATTTTGTTTTATGGATAGTTTATTACAATAGAAATACGTTCTATTAAAAGTTTCTGAGTTATTTTAACAGTTATTCTACAGCCCATAAAATTCGTAAAGTACAAGTTGTTTTCTGACTACTAAGACCTCTCCATTCTTTTACAATTTTTATCATTAATTACAACACACTAATTTACCGTACTTTTCTGATTATTATGTGTGGTACGTTACATCAAGTAAATAGTTTTCTCAATATCCTCAAAACCCCCGTTGAAAAAAATGGCAGTACTTTTAAAAAACAATCACGATAATTCGAAGAAAATGTATTGATTTTAAAAAGAACCACGATAAAGAAATACCAGACAATTTTCACAAGGGGCATGACATCAAATTATCGAATCGATAGACGAAAATAAAGCCAATCAAAGCAATATTTAATGAATTATATTTATCAAACATTACATAGTTACGTTGGTAGTTGGTGTGGTCCTGAGTTGATTATATGAATTCATGTTTATAGCAAATTGATAAAAACATCTAGAAAAAAGAACAACAAACTATCAACCTAATGTCTCGTCGGTACTTCTCTTTCTCCTAACCCTTCAAGAATGCAATAATAAGCGTAAATATTTACATCAAATTAATATTCCGCGAATATTATTTAGCAAATGACAAAAGCTCGGATCTCATTGTATTGCAACGTGATTTACTAATTATTGAAACATGTTAACATTTAACACATTACGTCAACGGAGATAGACGTACACAGCACTGTGTACACACAGAAACCGGGGGCACCGCTCTCCGACGACGTGCTTCCGTGAGACCATTAGTCGCTTGGCTTGGCGTGCGCCGCTGCGTCCTCGAGAGCGCTGGCGAGGCACGGGCGCGGCGAGAGAAGGGCTTGGCTCGCATTCACGGCATTCAGCACACGCCTCGCTCCGGCTCACGCCCCGCGCACGCGCCGTCGCCCTCGCCCTCGCCCTCGCCCTCGCCCTCGCCCTCGCTCTCACCCTCGTCCACGCTTTCGCCCTCGTTCTCGCCTTCGCTTATGCTCTCACCCTCGCCCTCGTTCTCGCCGTCGTACTCGCCCTCGTTCTAAGCCTCGTTCTCACTTTCACTCCAGCCCACGTTCTCGCTTTCGTTCATGCCCTCGTTTTCGCGAGAACAAGGCTTCTCACCCTCTTTCTCGCCATTTGTCTGGCCCACCTTCTCGCCCTCGTTCTCACTTTCAACCTTGCTCTCATTCTCGCCCTCGTTCACATCATTGGCCACGTCCTCGCCTTAATTAATGACCTTGTTCACACCTTCGCTCTCGCCCTCATTCACGGCCTCGTTCTCGCCATCGTTCCCGCTCTCACGCCCTCGTTCTGAATCTCTTTCTCATCCTCGTTCTGACACTTTTCTCACCCTCGTTTTCGCCCTCGCCTTCCGATGCTAGCTAGCCCCGCTGCCACCATCTCCATGACGGCGACAGAGCGCAGCATTGCTGTACACACTCCACGCTTCGCGTCGACGTTAATCCCCCCGACCC